CTTTACTTACTCTCAATCATTCTCTCTTCCCCCTCATCTCCCCCTCTCTCTCTCTCTCTTTCTCTCTCTCTGTCTCACTCTCTTTCCCCCTCTTTCGTTCTCTCGTTCTTCTCTATGAATCTCTGTCTTTCTGGCTACCTCTGCAAAAAATCCGTCCCCTCTGTATTTCCATTTTCTTTAGGAGTTCTCCGGCTTTCTTCCCTTTTACTTATTTTACGTCGCTCATTTATCAAGCTGCTATCAAGCCCCCCTCCCCCTTCCATTCCCATTTATTACTTCTTTTTTTATAGTAAAAGAGGTTTCTCTATTTAATATCTCCTCCGTTCCTTTGTTGCCCTGCTCACTGATATCCACGCTTTGGTTTCCTTTTCTTTCTTAAAATCATATCATCACTTTCCACCCCGTAAATTTTCTCGAGAGGCTGTCTGTCATTCCTCTTCCTGCCTTTTCTGTCGTGTCTATCTCTTTCTCTCACTCTCAATGTCTCTCCCTCTATGTCGTTCTCTATGTCTGCTTGTCTCCCTTCCCCACTCTCTCTCTTTCTTCTCTCTCTCTCTCTCTCTCTCTCTCTCTCTCTCTCTCTCTCTCGTTCTATTCTCTATACATCCAACTTTCTAACCCGCTCTTTTTCCCTTTATATCTCTTCCGTCGTAGCTCGTTATCCCCCCCCTCTTTCTCCCTCTCTCCCCGCCCTCTCTTCTATCTATCTATCCAACTCTCTACCCCGCTCTTTTTCCGTTTATCTCGTCCGTCACATCTCTCTCTCTCTCTCTCTCTCTCTCTCTCTCTCTCTCTCTCTCTCTCTCTCTCTCTCTCTCTCTCTCTCCCCATCCCCTCACAATCTCTCTGGTTCTCGCTCTCGCTCTGTCTGTCTATCTATCTTCCTCGTCCACAAATACACATCTTCTAGAACTAACCGTAGGCCTCTTCTACAACTACGTGAACACACAGAAGTGAAAAAGAAAATATAGCAAGAAAGGCGACGACACTTACATATCAGAGAAGATCCCAAGCATCAGTCCAGCGATCAGCTTGCCCATCATCATGGACATATTGGCGTAGGTTCGAAATTCTTTTCTGTCACAGACGAGATTCAGCTGAAGGTGAAAAAAAAAGAAGAAATAATTAGGCCTACAAAGGTCAAGACCCTCATGAATAGGATAGGCTAAAACTTGAAGGCCAGGAAAACCACAACAATAACAATAAAAACAACAGCAATGACAACAACGACAACAACGACGACAACAACAACCACAACAACAGTAGCAACAGGAAGCAATGGCTAAAATAACAACCACAATTATAACAGCTACAGTTGTCACCATCACAACAACAACAATAACACCAACAACAGCAATAACGATAACAACATATACCACAACAACAACAGCAACTGCAACAAAAAGCACAATAACCACAACAACAGTACGAACAAAAACTACAATACTTTCGCCAAAACAACAACAATAACCATAACAACAACTACTACTACTACTGCAATAACCATAACAACAACTACTACTACTGCAATAACCATAACAACTACTACTACTACTGCAATAACCATAACAACAGCCAGAACAACAATAACCACAACATCAAGTCACAAAAGTACAGTAAAACAGAAACAACAACTAAAATAACCACATGATGATGAAGATAATAATAACAACAATTAAAAACCAGTAAAATGGCAACAAAAAAGGGGGCGGGGGCTAAAACAAAAATAATAGTTTGCGACAGATTTTTGAGCCATAATCGTTCATGGCGGAAAGTAGGGTAACAAACGAAGAAGTAGGCCTACCGATTCTTCTAGATCTAGATTCTAGAGAATTATTTCTTTTATAATTATTTTAAAACGGTATTTACTTTCTGGACGTCCCTCGTATTTAGAACATAGATCTATAGATCTCGACTAGAAGCTGTGACTTGTATAGATGAAGTACACGTAGGAGATCTATTAAGTAGTCTTGTTGGTGACGCACAGATCAAATTAAACTTAATATGTCGGTTTATACTAAATTAACCTTTTTTATGAAACTGAGACTACTAGATCTAGATGCAAGGCAGCGTCCAGGGAAAAAGGAGCAGGGGCAGACCGAAGAAGAGTTGGGAGGACAACATCAAGGAAAGGACAGGCCTGAAACTCAAAGACACACTCAGAAAAGCTGAAGAGCAGAAGGAATGGAGGAAGCTGGTGGCCAAATCTTCAAAAGCGCCCCGACGGACATCCAGTCTACGGGATAGGTGAAGGCTCAGAAGGCGAAGGTGAAAACAATTTCAACCTGCTCTCCGTTAACTGTTAATGAGAGTGGAGTCACACTTTCTAAGCCTGAAAGCCATGGTCATTACTTTTGGTTTTATAGACATTTAGTAATTCAGTGCAAGGTAGCTGTTTTCGCACCACTGAACAAATATTTCTTCTTCTTCCTTGTATGTTGATGCTGGTCGTGATGCAAAGCAAAAAACAAAAATCCCCCCAAAAACAGCCGTCAGCAAATTTTACCAAGGGTGTGTCTGTATTGTGATTTCATAGTCGTATTTTGTGTACTGTGTAAAAAAAAAAGCTGTTAACATAGTTTGTATTTATGCTGCTCATTTCCATTTTCTATTAAAATGCCCAATGCGGGTGAGATTATTCATTACTCACACAATGCGTGCACCAAAAATAGAAAACAATAAAACCTCATTAACAGTTATAGTAAAACTGAAATTTGAAGGTTACTGACAGAATGAAACATCCATTTTTTTATAGACAGAACAGCATGCTCGTTCTCTCTCTCTCTCTCTCTCTCTCTCTCTCTCTCTCTCTCTCTCTCTCTCTCAGTCTCACCGTCAGATGATAAAATAACAGTTTATCGTTATGATAAGTATATGCATTTCTGAATAATTAATGCTAGAGATGATGTTGCTTTTGCTAAATTATTTTGAATATTAGGGGGCTCTTCCTATTATGATTAGAGTTCGTTAGATAAATGAAGACCAAAGTAAGAAAAGGAGCGCTAGCCGTATATCCTGTAATTTTATTTTGGGGTTTAAAGAAACAGTTTTCATGAGTAAAAGTGAAAATAGCAAACAAGTTCAAGAGGTCAAATGTCTGGGATACATCATAACATTCAATGCCTAATTTTCTTGAGAAAGAAAACGAAAAATCCTAATAACTAAAGAGAGACTCAATAAAAATTAAAATGAATCCAATCCTGAAAAATAGAAATACCTCAATGACTACTACAATAACGATTCTAAAAAGGTATGTGTGGCCACCCTTCTATACGGCTGTGAATGCCGGACAATTACCAAAATACTTAACATGAAACAGAAGCAACAGGCATGACGTGTCTTCTAAGAAGACATGACAATTTAATGGTCAGTAAAGAAATCGGGAGTACACTGGAACAGCGACCGATGTTAACCCTATTTTTCCTTAGACAATGTATTTTCTAACATTAAAATAGCGAGCAGCTCCTTAGTATAATATTATTGTTTTCTTTTTTGGGGAGTAATCTATAGACAGTGAAAGAT